ATGCTCAGCTAGAGCGAACGCGACCTCTCACCGGCGTCGACATTGAAGACACCCTTCCGTCCCTCTGCCGCCCACCATTGCCTCACGCCCGCTATATAAAGTGCAGCCCCGACCATAGCCGCATTCATCCTCTTCCAGGCCCTTTCTCCTCTTCCGCACCACTCCCACCATGGCCTCCTTGCACGCCAAAGATCTCTGGGACGACCTGTAGGTAGAGTAGAATAAGGAGATTGCCGTCATTGCTGTCGGCTGGCAGGCCGGCAGGCAGCCGAAGGCCGATGAAAGAGAAATCAATGCAAGTTTGAAAAGTCAAGTCTTGAGCACAAGAAGTTTTCTCCATCGAGAATTAGCACTAGCATATATATATATATATGAAGGGTATTCTAGAGATAGGTATTCCATGATGCAAAATATCTTTTTTTCTGTCTTGGTGAAAAGAGTAAAACCAATCTTTATCATAGGCTGTCGACTCTGACTTATTTCATTAAATAAAGACGACGGTCAGGGAGCTACTATGGATCATAGGGTGGAGAAAAGGAAATGGAAATCAAAAGAAATTGTGTGGCTAGGAGAAAGATGACATATCAAGTCTTGAGCGTACAAATATATTTTCATGATGAGTGAACTAATAATTGGAGTTTTATATTTTTATTTTTCCTTTTTGGGATCCTTCTCTCATTGTCTTGGTGGAAAGACTGGAAGCGAATTTGACTTTTCCGAAGGTTTTCTCCTTTGTTTTTTTACGGAAGCTGATGGTAAGGAAGAAACCCTATTGTTCACGGATTGTAGAATCTTGCCCCCATCGAAATCAGGTTTTGTATTTAACTGTGGATTATTACATTGAATGAGAAGTCAACAAAACTTTGAAAAGTCAAGTCTGGGGCTCCAGAAGTTTTCTCCACCGGAGAATTAATACTAGCATATAGATGAAGAACATTCTAGAGGTATGTGTTTGATGATGCAAATTTCCCTTCTCTTTCCATGTCTTGGTGGAAAAGTGTAGCAATTTTATCGTAACAAGTTGGCTTGAGTTTTTTCTCTATGGAAGTCGACTGTTGGAGCTGTTTAATGTTACTGGTGGTAAAGTCGTACTACCTTACATGAAAAATCAGGTAAGAATGAACCCAAAATCCTAAAAACTAAGCGACCAATAGAAAGATGACAAGTCAAGTCTCGAGGGCAAGAATAGAGATATTTCAGTGATTTCTCATGGGATTCAAGGGATGCTACTCCTACGTTGTCTGTCATGACATGGATTATATGTCGTTTCCTTTTGTCTTTGATGGGCGGAGCAAAAATGGTATAGTGTCAACTGGTTCCTTTTGGTATATTAGTCTTGCATAGGTCTTCCACCATCTCTTATACCAAAGAAAAAGACTGTGACAAGTCAAGTCTCATGCGTAAGAATATTCTTTCACAAGCTAGCTTATAAAACTGTAGACTAATGGAGCGAATTCGATGAATGTTCCGCTTGTATTGGTTCTGATTTACATGTTTTTAGAAACACTGGCTACAACGTAGATAGTCACACTTACACCACCACACAACACCTCCTACTGGAGATTGGGTCGGAGTCACAGGGCTTAAAGATTGACGATGTTACCACATGTGCCTCGCTATAAACGGGGACATTTGCTCACTGAAATAATAACCCCGCATTAATGAGATGCCAAAACGTTGAGCCTGAGTTTTATTCCGGGTGGTCTGAGGGCACCACCACGTTTTTAGCCATCGGCTGGTTCTCAATTTTAATGGGTGTTTGATGATGTGTTTATTTTTCTTGGGTTGTTTGAAGCACTTGAGCAACATCTTGTGAGGTATGATAACGACAAGTTATCGATTCCCACGGTGATTTATAGTTTGTTCTATTGCTTTCTTTTATGAGTGTACGACATTACTCTCATCATCAAAATTTCCCATTGATTCTGCAAGCAGACAAACATATATTTTCCGAGCAATGTAACAATGTTAGAAATGTATTAGAATATGCATACTACTAATAATACAAAATGACCCAATAAATTTACAAATCCTAGGTTCGCGGCACTGCGATAATAGAGAATTGCATGTTCTAAAAAATCATCCAAGGAACTACATGAAGGAGCAATAAGTTCACAAAATTATGATTTTTGTTCTACTTCTTGCGTCAATGCTTGGGGTTTCTTGCGAAGGGTCATGGGTTCTCTGCTATTAATGCCCCCAAAAACTTGTTTTGTGAGACTCAATTTGATGATATGCATACATATTAAAACGTTACATGATAATACTAATCTTAGTATGGGTTTTGAGATTTTTAAATAAGTCTCGTGTTTCATACACCTTGCATTTTAAAACAATGACGTGAAGTATCATGCTTAGTGGTTACATAGGAAGTTAATTTTTTCCCACTTAAACCCTATAGCAGCCACGGTAATCCAGTATACCTTAGAGATACGTTCCCACTATCTTATTTATCTTGACATGCAGCCTATCCACATCATCAAATAGGTCCACCATGTAAAAATAATTTCCAACTAACTATTCACGCGTGTGCTCCCATTAGATGTTTGAGCATAATTGGTTTGGTGTCAAAAATTGGCATGCTACTATTTGGTTGGTTACCGAGTTGTCTTTCCTATCTCGCACAAAGTTGTCAATAGTTCGCAAGTATTGGTATTGCCAATATTTGGCAATGCCAACATTAGGCTAGCCAAATATTGGCAGCAAGTCAATCATGCTCTTTATGAGCATGCAACCTGCCACAAATAATCATTAATTATTTTCTTCATGCACTCTCAAGAAGCTACGTTATTATAAGTTTCTTTTGCTATATGTATGTCTCAAAGTCATCTGATCCACTCCAGATGTCTAGCTCGATGCCCTATCCAACCATTTGATTAGACTTCATGTGTTGTTATTGGGATCATTCGATTTCTAAAGGCCAAACAACTGTATTTTCTAGTTCTCATCCTCTTGCGCTTTATGTCCATGTCTCTTTTGCTCCCCACATGCCACATAATTGCACTAGATGCCTTCGTTCCTTCAAACCTCCAGTGTTCCAAGCAACCTTTTAACCCTAATTTGATTCCATTGCATATAGAGATGTAGCTCATCAAGTTTTTTAAATCTTTTTTAAGAATCCAATGCTCCATGCAACCTTTGAATCCATTTTTTTTCATTGCATACACTGAGGAAGCTAATCAGGCTTTTTTATGACGGAACTAAACTTCATCTAATGGGAAAGCATTGGTGCATGGTTTCGCACTAGACAAGACAACCAAAAATAATTGGAGCTACCTGGGTATATTGTAGAAAATGGCTGGAGTACATTGCACATGGTTGATCCGGTGAGAAGCATGATTTAATCAACAGTGCGCATGATGATTTAGAGAAATCATACCTATTTTTTGGCCATTTCATCAAATTTTCTTTTGATGCTTACTCGAAACAATATTTCTTTCAAATAAAATTCTTAATCATCAACTTATACCATGAATCATAAACTTTCTCTTATTTTTAAATGTCAAATTATTTCTTAAGAGTTCTCACAACAAAGCATGGGGTATCATCTTGTTAGCAAAAGCGATTAGAGGCATCTAACTTGTTTTGCAGGGTAAGCATGTGATGTGGCATATCATTCATGATTCAGTATGTTTATAAGAGATGCACCTCCCCCATTTCTTCTATCTTCATTTTCTTCCTTATTTAGCTCACTCTTCCATGGCCGCTCCTCAAGCTCCAAGCTTTTCCTGCCGTCCACCAATCTGAGCTAAGTCCTACGGCCAATGGCTCCAAAACTAGTGAAGGGTCACTGCGGTGGTAACGCGAGCAGCGCCTCAGGCAAGGGC